CCATCTAGTCGCTCACAAAGGTTTCACGTCATCTCCTGTCACTGTTAAATCCGGTTTTCTTCAGGGTTCATATCTCGGTTCGTTATTTTTTATTATATTCACCGTTCAGTCCTTGACGACTTGAAAATATACCGTTTATCTGACAGTGGTGAGCTACAAGATGATATTGAATTAATATTTGAATCAATATCTGAAAAAATAAAGAAATCCCGAATAGTGCTGGCTTAACAATATCCATTTCAATTTTAAAAAGTATTTTATTATAACGTTCACAAATAAGAGATATAAACAGACTTATGTATATAAAATTAATGAAGATTCATTAGACAGGAATATGGTAGATAAAGATCTGGGTGTGACGTTTGACTCTAAATTAATATTTCGTGAGCACTGTGCTTACATTAAAAACAAAGCATTCCAGTTACTAGTTTTTGTAACGAGATGCTTTAAAGCCGTCAAACAGCCTCAAAGCTTCCTGACCATTTATAATAGCCTTGTCGGTAGCATTCTTGAATATGCTTGTGTTGGTGTGTCATTGAAAAGAACCCTTAGTATACTTAGTTATAATTATGTTGTTGCTCGCTGTCTTGTCAATTATGGTGAAAGACTCGACAAATTTTAAGCGACCCCTTTACTTATTCACCATATGGAATATGAACTTGTATATAGTAAAGTAAAAAGTAAAGTTACAGCCTTTATACTCGTACGTCACTCTTCAGGCACAGGCTGAAAGAGTGACGACCTCTCATTTCTGAGAGGGTTTTAGGGCAAGGAAATGTCCACCGCGCTGCCGCAATGCAAGTTGGCGAATTTCACATGTCTTTGTAATATTTTTTTCTTATTCGTCAGACATGCAGGTTTCCTCACGATGTTTTCCTTCACCACCGAGCACGTGGTAAAATCAGCACTTAAAATTGAAATTAACAATTTCGTTGGTGCTGGCGGAGATCGAACCCGGGTTCTGTTATGTTTACAGCGAGCGAAAACAATCTGAGCTACCAAGGCTCTTACTCTCTCTCTCTCACGGACCTTGTATATATTGACATAAAATTCTCCATATTGAGATCCATACCGATTACCTCTTAAGTAAATTAAAGTTAATTACAAAGCACAATCCCCGAATTCTTAGCAAGACATTTTACCTGCAGACTAATAAGATTAATGGTGGTAGTACACTATTTAACTTCAAGCTTCAGCAATCATTTAGCTCTCTAAATGTTTCCTTATTGCAATACGAACCCAGAGAAATAAATTCATATATGAAGATTAACGTTCCACATGCTTTGCGCACAATGGTAACATTTTGTTAGAATTTACTAGATTCGTGAACGTTATTTGAATTTTTTACGTAATTTATTTATTTATTAATTATATGGACTACAGAACAGATAGCAATCAAAATACATTAAAATTATATATACCACTTTGATCTGAAATATCTCTTATTTAGTTAAGAATTCCAAATTCCAATTTATAAATTCATTTAGCTGGCACATTTAAATTTTGGAAACAGTAATTCATATGTTTTTCCTTATTATTTTTTCTTTGGCGTCGCTTATTACCGCACAATGAAAAAGATGAAATATCGGTATATTTCTGAGTATGAGTTCTACCGTGGCACTAGTGCTGCAGAAACAGCTCGAAAGATTAATGATGTGTATGGCACTGGTGTCGCAAAAGGAAACACGGTACGTTTTTGTTTTCAACGTTTTCGTTCTGGAAATTTCGACCTTCAGAACCAACCCCGTCGACGGCCGGAGACCAAAATAGAAAATGAAGATTTAAAGGCTATTGTGGAAGTGGATCCATCACACAGCACTTCAGAGATAGCTGCAAGCTTCGGGGTAAATGGTATTTACTTAAAGCAGATCGGGAAAGTAAAAAACTTCAACGATGGGTACCTCATGAATTGAGCGAATTGAACTTGCAAACACGCGTCGACTGCTGCGTGAATTTGCTCAACCGACACAAAATGAAGGGATTTTAAATCGAGTCATTACTTGTGATAAAAGGTGGATACTGTACGGTGATTGGAAGTGCTCGTCATAATAGCTGAACTCTGAAGACCCAGCCAAATCCTGGCCTAAACGAAAATTGACTCAGAAAAAGTTACATAGTTGTGTCGTTCACTACAGCTTTCTAAAATCAAGCCAAACGATTGCGGCAGATATTTATTGTTGAGAACTGCAAACCATGAAGGAAGAACCAGCTGCTAAACAACCTTGATTGGTCAATCGCTCTAGGTCACTGCTACTTCACGACAACGTAAGACCACACACTGCACAACAAATAACCACTGAGTTAGATGAGCTACAACTGGAATGTCTGCGACATCCACCGTACTACCCGGACCTTGTTTCAACAGATTACCATTTTTGCCGAAATTTGGAAAACTTCTTACAAGGAAAAAAATTCAACTCCGATGCGACAGTCAAAACCGCCTTCAAAGAGTTTATTGGTTATGGCCCCCATGGTTTTTTAAGTAAAGGTACAATGACAACGGCACCAATGAATGACATAACAACGGCGCATTCTTTGCTTAATTGAATTTATTTTACAAAAAAAACTGACTTTATATTCCTCCCGTACAAAACGCAAATTTTATATATATATATATATATATATATATATATATATATATATATATATATATATATATATATATATCCACTAATGTCTGAACCAATTCTATTTGCTGTAATAAATTTTATTATTATTTTGTGTATCTATATATTTTCTCATCTGGTTGGGTTCTATAAATATATAACTTTAAATTAGAATGAAAAGATAAATATTCATAAATATCAATAAAATAAAATAAATACAAAAAATACACAAATAAATAAAGACCAAACCAGATGGAAGCCCTCGGCAGGGGAGACCAAACGGCCGAGGTTTAGGAGGAAAGGGAAAGAAACCGGCGGACTCCTGCGAGAAAGCTCCTGGTGTAGAATTCTGGCTACTAGGTTGTGCTTGTGCAAGTACTAAGATTAAGAAAGCGCCGAACAACCGGGGATGACATGCCCAAGTGACTCCCCGGGACGGCGACAAGCTCGACGGTGCCATCCTTAGTATATATCTCCGATAGGTGCTGGTCTTAATAACCTGATCCTATATTGCACAGACAAAACCCTCGGTTCCCAAAGAGGCCACCCGTGGAGCTCCTTCTCCTTGCATACGTTCTCCCGGTTGGAAACGCTATGTACTGCCGATTCCTGTCATTGCTCGTTAGCTGAGGATAGATAGGTAAGCACTTTATCACTAGAAATGACGTCCTTATAGAATGGATCATCCGATCTCGCCAGGAAGTAATGACGGAGGCTGCACACTTCGCTATTATGCACGGTAAGCGCGTTCAGTAAGCCACGCCCACCATGCTTTCTTGGCAATTACAACCTCATTACCGATGAACTCGGGTAATGCATCCTATGTGATGTCATAATAGTGCGGACTTTTCTATCCAGGGCGTTAAGTTCAGTCTGAGTCCACCTGAATATTCCAAAGATATACATGAGGACAGGCGTAACCCAGCCGTTACTTGCGTGTGTCTTATTTACACCAGACAAAAGGCTGTTAAGCATTTTGGTCAAGCATGCATAAACACGTCGCAAACTGTTTCATACCCAGGTGATGTTCTGTGACATACCCAGGTATCGATATGTTTCAGCCTCGGAAAGGTTCCTTAAATTGACGGGCATAGATAAGTCTATGCCCTCAGACTTAGCAACCCTTCCCCTTTCAACATGGAGGACCGCACACTTATCCGTCCTCAGCTCCAATCCAATAGAATTGCTAAATTCACAAGTGATGTTTAGCAATTCCATAACATGGGAGCGACTGGAAGTAAATAACTTGAGGTCATCCATATAAGGTGGGTCACTTTTGTACCTCCTTTCCGAATCTGAAATCCCCTCCCGGAGCCCTCCAGTAAAGTACTGAGACGGTTCAAAGAGAGGCAGAACCAGATTAGACTCAGACAGTCACCCTGGAATATACCCCTTCTTATCCTTATGCCGCTTTCCGCAGCCGTCATCCGCTCGCCTAGATGACAGAGGATTGTATTCCACTGCCCCATACACTGGTCGAGGATGTCTCTAACTGTACAGTCAATCTTGTACAGATCGCGGACCCTTTTTAGCCATGTATGGGGTACCGAGTCGAACGCCTTTCTGTAGTCTATCCAGGCGGCGGAGAAGTTCCGACGGTTGCGTTTTACCACTTTGCCAATGACCACGTCAATGACGAGTAGTTCTTTGATTCCACGACTACCGCCCCGACATCCATTTTGAGCGCGTGACATCACCTGGTTTATATCCGGGTGACGAGTGAACCTCGCGCTCAAAATGGATATCAGTGTCTTATATATGATGGGTAGACTCGTGATGGGGCGGTATTTGCTCGTGTCTGTGGTATCCCGATCTTTAGGAACCAAGTGAGTGATGCCAGTAGTGATGAGCTGAGATGAGCAGAGCGACATCTGGTCGAGAACCTCTTGAAAATGTCGGGCGAGCACAGCGTGACATACTATGAACCCCTTCATCCAGTAATGACGCAGCACGTCGAGCCCCGGACTTTTCCAGTTCGGGGCCCTACGGACCGCCTCAGCCACGTCTTCCGGTGTTATGGTGATGGGGTCCACAGACGTAACACTCGCACCCTGGCTCACCACAACTTCCATCCAAGAGCCCTCGGTGTGGTTTACGGGCTCTGACCACAGGCCGCGCCAGAATGTTACAGTGTCGGTCGGTGCTGGGCCCGTTCCATTTACTATTGGTCGCTCCAATGATTCATAGAGCCTCTTCTGATCACTCTGGAAGAGACGATGCTGGTTGAACCGAGTTGACCTCTAGGTATACCGCCAAATCGGCTTTCCCCAAGCAGCAATTCTCTGCTTTAAATCATCTATGCGCTCCGTCAGTTTTTGCATTATATCCGGCTGGGATAAACTGACATTTGTCCCAGAAAACGCCATCCTGACGGTGCGCACAATTCTTGGCCTATTAGTCAGTCAGTCTGCCGATGAGAGCTCTCGCCATTGCGATACTTTCCTCAATTCCTCTTCTCCATGCTGGGATAGCGCTAATTTGGCCAGTAGAGCGTCCAGCCGTGGAAACCTCTGCGCCTATGATACAGCAGACTGCCAGCGTGGTGCCAAAAAGAATTGAGTCCGTATCACAAAGGTCCCGGCTGTCTTCCAAATAGGTCACCAGCATTGGGTTCAGAGCCCTCACGTAAGCCCGATTCTGCTTGCTTAGGGCTATATGGGGAAGTCGTGGTCGATTTCCGAGAGGCGTACTGCGCGTTTCCACAATCGCCTCTTCCAATGTACTCCTCATTTGCTCTATTTCTAGTTCCTGGGCGAATGTTTCATCATCATTTGAATCAGCCACCACTGGGGTATTCACGGCGCTATCCACGTGTGCGGGTTGTTCTGCAACTTGTGGCACCGCATCCTCAGCCGTAGCATTTTCATTTGATGAGGGAACAGCCTCGCGTCGTAGCCATTCGAGTTCGGCGCCATCAAATATGTTTGAGCGCAAGATATACCGAACTCGGTCTGCCAGCTTTTGCTCGGTGACGGTTATAGATGGCTCTAGCTCAGAAAAAAGTCGATGCATCCTTGCCCGATACGCAAGAAATCCTCCAATTTTCCTCCCTTTCACCCTATAATATCCCCGCAATGCGTTGCTGTTCATCAAGATTGTTCAACGCATGTGGCGTATTCCACTAGTGGCGGGTGCCGATTGCTGGGTCTTCGAAGACCCTGCCGTCACCAAGCCCGCTGGTGGGGATGATGGATGCGAGGGGCTACTAGGTAGTCGAGCAGCACCTCGCGCTCGGCTGGTGATTCGCATGCTGTCGCGTCCAGCGCCAGCTCCAGACGCGCACCGGCGACCCCCAGGCAGCGGCCCTTTGCGCGTTATATCGAATTCCATCATTCGTGTTATGGGCGTCATTCACCGGGAGACGCCCAGACCCGGCGCCGTTTTATGGTAAGGCCATGTTCACTACTTATGCCGAGGCACGGCCCTAACAACTCTTGGCAAGGTGTTGACTGACTGCGCTCACGTAGAGTTTTTTCACGTAACCGTTACGTCAGCGGGCGATGGGGTTGTCACTTCCCTACTATTATATATATAATAGCCGTTAAAGTGTAGTCCCTTAGTTCACACAGATTAGAGCCAGATCTCGGAAAGTACCTTAAAAATGAAGTAAAGATTATTTAACTAAATAACAAGATAAAGTGTGAAAGATAAAAGAAACAAATATCTAAGCTGTGGTCCCTCAGTCCATACAATTTTTTTACATATTGCCGAACATTTCTTAGTTATATTATTTTATCGTACTTACCAGATAATATTTTAGTAGAAGTCTTAAAGTATTTTGTGCGGAAAAACATGAAAGCAGTGATAAATAAATAAATTCCACAGGAGGGTACCAGCATCGATAATCCTGGAGTTTGTGTGTACGTAAGAGAGGATATCTGTTCTCGAGGCCTCAGTTCTTTTGAAGCCAGGGACCTGTCTAACCTATAGTTAGGCATAGACAGCGACGACCAGCCCGCATCTATTGATGCCTCTGTAGGTCCCACAACGGTGATGCCGAGATAGATCGACTCTTCGACCACGACCAAATGTCTACAGATTCCATACTACAGCTCATCACATCCGCAAAGATCGTGCTCCTCGGTGATTTCAACATCCACCGTGGTTGGTTGGTTCAGTTATCGTAATCTATAATCATGCGGGGAGATTTTTCAAACTTAATGACATTACCTTGGCAATTCGTCTGACACAACTGGCCACAGATATCAGGTCTCCGTCTATGCTCCTCTTGACCCTTCGAATCACTACCTGATCTGTAGACTATCACCGTTTGTGGAAATTTTGGTCAGCCGATTGGAATTGGATGAGGGTTTTTTGTGCATCCTACCCATAGGGGCGGATTTGCTTCTCGCTAGATGATCCTAACATCGTTACTAAGTCTTTCACCGATGTGGTTCTGTAGGGGATGGAAATGTTCATAACGCCATCTTTAGTGCCTGTCGATGGCAGATTCCAGCCTCGGTTTAGTCGCTCCTGCAAAATTGCGTTGCGGTAAAGACAGTAGTGTTACATATCGCGGGCCGACGCATCGGCGTCCTTCCAAAGAGTTGTCACTAAGGTAAAGTCGGAGTACAATGAGAAAATTTACGAGAAACTAGTTCGCCTTCCTTCACGAACTCGTGCGTTCCATCCTCTAGCCAAGGCTACCTAAGGGAATTTTTGTAAGTCATCATTATCCTTTCTGCGCAAGCTCGTTGGCTCATGCCACACTGGAGAAAGCCAATCGTTTGGGTTCTCTTTTTGCGTCCAATTCGACTCGACGACCGGAGAAATCTACCTCCGACTAACTCGAATGTGTGAATGTTTAAAACAGGATGTTCAGTTCACACAGTGCCCAGTGCATAAAGCTAGCTGTTCTTGGATGTCCATAAATGGGGTGGACCGAATGGAATTCATCCAATTGTAATGACGACGTGTGCTCCAGAGGTAGCACGGGTTTGTACGCATCTTTTCTGGTTCACTTACTCTTTAGGCGTCGTTTCAATCTCATGGAAGACAGACTTAGTACATAGCAAGAATACCGTCTTTGTTGAGCAGCATTTCGTATCTTTATTTGTTTATCCGAATTGAACCTAGTGTCTCGAGATGTATTTACTGTATTTATATTTTGGATTGTGTTATACTGCTGTATATACAGCCATTTACTTCAAGACAGTGATCGTTTTTTTGCTTGTAGTACCTACTCTCCCTTCTACAATAGATAAAAAGCCAGGCTTTCTTAAGTTTTTGAAATTAATAGTTAAAAAACTAGATGTAGCCGAGCTAACTACGACATTGAGACATTAAATATCTCGGTTCCTATATAAATGGTGAATACAGTAAATATATCTAGGTAGTTGGTTCATTTGCATGGGCTTAGAACTAGAATAATGTTGATGTTGAGTGTTATTATTACCGAATTTATAGGATGTTCATGTGTTATGCAGATGTGAATCAGATGTGAGTTTGGATCCAGGCATGTTTCTTATTTTGTTCTGACTATGCAAATTAACTTCTTCTCATACAGTACAGAGCGCATATTCTAATCTATATATTCTAGTGAATTATACAGGACAACGCTTAATGATGTGTTTTCATAAATAGCCTTTTTTACTATTGCGCATATTTCTGTCCCACAACCAATTAACTTTACCTGTTAAAATTAATCTCATAGATTCAATTCGGCAACAAATATCTAAACTTTCTTTGGGTTTTATTCTTAAGGTCTCAAGTTCGATATTAAAACACTTATTAAATTTCCAAAATGCTGAATTAATAATTGCTTAAACTCATCCAATGTTGCGATATCATCGCGCTCACTGACTAAAGCAGCTGCTTTGCCGATAAGGCGGTTTGTTATTGTATTTATCATGCACAAATTCTTTTCCGTTGAGCCAATAAATTTAGTAATAATATATTCACACCTTCTTAAAAATAGATTTAAATGACATTTGTCGCCATGAAATATAGGGATGATTTCATCATTTTACTTGTAAAATTATAATTTGTATATAATATAGTATTTATTGAAATAAGTAAAACTTAAATTACTTATTACACATAATTTTTTTAGTTATTTAACCTGAATACGTTAAAATGAGAGAAGTTTGATCTCACGAAAACAGAACGCTGAGGTAGTGGAAAGGATGTTGAAAAGTTCTACGCACCAGCTACCAGCTGCTCTCATTGCCCAGGATCAGCTCTGCTTCATTGAAAATTGTTTTGGTTCGAGGATCATCTCAGTTTTTCCTTCGTATTGTTAACCCCCGATCCGACAGATTTTTATATCGAATTCCCGAAGGACGCAACACTACAAAAGTGTGACTTTCCGACCGGCTGCTCCAGTCTAGATTACGGGAACGTAAAACGATTTTTCAAAAACTATTTAAAATCTAAAAATAAAAAGGATCTCCGGTTCTCTGCACTCACCATACGAAAGACATTAATATTAAGCTGCTGTTTTACGCTGTTATTCTGTGAAGGCGTGATCCTTCCCCGGTCGGTCCGACCCATTCGTGCTACAACTATCATATAACTGCAGTATGAATATACGTAAACATACATATATACATACATAAACACTCACGCCTGTTACCCAGAGGGGTAGGCAGAGACTACAGACTTCCATTTGGCACGATCCTGACACACCTCTCTCGCCTCCTTCACATCCATACACCTACGCATACATGCTCGGCGGTTAAGGGTACTCCTAATTTGGCCCGTTTTCAATAAATCGCCAATTTGGTCGATAAATTTTCGCCTAGGACGTCCCTTTCCGACTCTGCCATTCACTTCTGCAACATAAATTTTCTTTGTCACTCTTTGCTCATTCATTCTTTCCACATGACCAAACCACCGAAGCATTCCATTCTTAATCCTGGTCACAACATCATCTTGCAAACCACACTCTTCTCTTATTACACAATTTCTTACCCATGACTTCGAAATATTTTTAAATATCTAAAGCATGAATAATTCCTCACTACTCTTTCCTTCTCCTTAGAGCACATGCTGTTATTACAACTAACAAATTAACTCTGATTAAAACTACTTTTACGGATTTTATCGCGTTTTATTTATATTAATTTTAATACCCGACGTTTTGGGTGCTTTCCAGCACCCATGGTCACGGGGGACTGAGGTGACTGACGTCCCGATGTCAAAGTTAACCCGGAGTACCTTCAGCTTTTTAATTATTGTTTTAGGTCCGATCTACGCAGAATGAACTAACTGTATTTTGAAGTCTTGCAGTGGTATGCTTGGGTTTAGTTTTAATTTTATTAATTATAGGATCCCAAGCAGGTGGTAGTACCCAGCCTCCTTCTCTATTGAAATTAGGGTGTTTTTTAATTTCAATAGCCTCACGTATCATCCTTGGTAGGAATCGATGTTCTTTCGCGAGGATTTGTGGTCTATCAAATCTGATGTAATGGTTGGGGCCATCTAGAATATGATCGCAAACTGCAGACTTCCCGGAACGTTGATGCTTCACGTCAGTTATGTGTTCTTTTACGCGGGTTCTAATTGATCTCTTTGTTTGCCCTATATATGAGAGACAAATATGGAACGAGTCATCGTCAATATGGACAAGGAGACTGATTCATTTCATTTTTGCCCAAAATTTAAGTATAGTCATTCAGTGAGGATATATAACAAAAGTTTTTGGCACTTTGACGAGGGGAATAGGATTTTTCGATAAGCCGATAAAAAGACATGATCATCAGATTCCATTTTAAACAAGCCTTATAATTATATATTGCGAGCGTTTTGTTGACATTATTATCCTAACATGAAGTCTGGTATAATTCGAAGATAAAAATGAATCTTACGAAACTTTGCAATTCAATATCTGTAAACGGTTTATGCTACAGGGAAGTCAGGCGTATAAAAAAGTATATCGAGAATTAAAAGTCATAAAGCTATGTTTACCTTTCTGATATTCGTTTTAAAATATAAAATGATTAAAACTTTGGTTCTAACGAGGTTAATAAAATTGCTAAAATGATTTTAAAGCTTCTGTTAACGGAAACGAT